GGAGTTGGGAAGTCCCGGATCGCGCTGACCTTTCCAGGATCAGCCGAGATGCCCTTGCCTGAGAGGGTGTACCCACAGAAGTTCACACTAGGTGCGGCGACCACAAACTTATCCTTGTTGAGGGTGATCCCGTACTTGCGGCACCTGGTGAGCATCTGGTGAATACGCTCAAGATGCGTGGAGTAATCCTCGTCATATAGGAGCACGTCGTCGATGACCTTGACACAGTTCGCCACACCCTGAAGGGCCATGTCACCACGGAGGCAGAAAGCATCGCCAGTAGCCGCGAAACCCATAGGTCCTCTGCAGTGCTGAAATCGGCCGTACGGTGTGATGAACGTCGTGAGGTGCTGATCTTCTTCCGCAAGTTCCATCTGCCAGTACCCACATAAGGCATCTGCTGTAGTAAAGTACCTTGCCTTCGGGTCCACACTGCGTATAGCGGTGAAGGGTGTCGGTGAAGGGTGGGTCGGGCGGGAAACTTGGCTATTCAGCTTGGTGAGGTCGACGGTGATACGAACTCCAGTAATGTTCTTGGCGACTGCTACCATGGGGTGACACCAATCCGAGGGGTCGTCACCAGCAGGCTTAATGATCCCCTGGGCTACCATAGAGTCGAGTTCCTTCTTAACTTGGCTCTGGAAAGCGAAGGGTATCTGTCTCGGTGTGTGGATGGCGAAAGGTACTGCGTCATCCTTCAGGTGTATTCTCATGGGGGAGCCAGCCATTGGCTTGAGTGGAGCCGTCTTGAGGTCCTCCTTGGAAACCAGCACGTCCTTGAATTGCAGTAGGAAGAACTCCCTGGCTGCAGAAGGTGACGTATTGGGTGGGAGGGGCAGCTCCTTGCACCTGTTGACATGTTTTATTTCCAGAATTGGCTTTGGGAAGTCTGGAGATATTATGGCCAACTCTTGACAGTGGCCATAAGACAGTAGTGGCATCTGAACACCTTTGTGGACCTGAATCCTGGCAGAACATGACTGCTTACCTAGGGTGAGGGTAGCCTGAAATGTACCCAGAGCAGGTGCTATTGTAGAACCGTCTGCGGTGAGCGTTGTAGAAGTTGACGGTGGTTGCAAGCTGCTCCTAGGAATCCGCAGAATGTCGAGGTGTCTTGTGCCGATGACTGTGACGTCCGCACCTGTGTCAGGAAGCATCTGGATACGGGATGTAACGTCGCCGTATGACAGGTGAACACAGATGGGCTGAGGTGTCTTGCTGACAGGGGAAGAAGAGGATCCCACGCGACGACAGCGCTTGTTCTTCGCCGCCTGAGACTTGCACGTAGTATTATTCTTCTTCTGTGACTGACAGCATTTGTCATAGTGTCCAATGCGGCTACAGGAGCGGCACTGAACGTTGTTGGCAGGGCACTTCAGTGTCCTAGCCCAGTGACCACGACGGCCACAGTTATTGCAGGTGCTGTCAGCGGCAGGGCATTCAGAACCATGCCGACGAGCACAATACTGGCAGGAATGACCTGGCGTCGAAGTCTGAAGTGATGCTGAAGTCGGATGTGAAGCTGAAGTCGGATGTGAAGCTGAAGTCGGATGTGAAGCTGAAGTCGGATGTGAAGCTGAAGTCCGGTCACGTCCTTTGTTCTTCTTATATGCGGAGATGGCACACAGCTGGTTAGATGGACCACGAATGGCAGAAGTCGCACTTCTGGTGGCTTCGTAAGAGCGGCAGGTGGTGACAACATCCTGTAGAGAAGAGGCAGTGTCGAGGGAGATAAGCTTCTGAATTAGCTCTTCGTCCCGCACGCCCATGAGGATAATCATCTTCAGCTGTGTTTCCTCACAAGTCGACGAGTTCCCAGGACAAACGTCAACCTCCTCAGCGATGCGTCTGAGTCGTACGTAAAAATCGGCAAACGACTCACCCTCCAGCTGCTTACAACTGAGAAGTTCTCTCCTACGGAGAGCTTCGTTGCGGAGACCCTTGATATGCGTCTGTAAAGCATCCAAGACGTCCTTCACAGTCTTGTCTGTGTCGTGGGGAATTTGCAGGGTGTGCTCCAGGATACGTTGCATCTCTAGGGTGAGACACATCCTCATCTGGATCAGCTGTTTCTCCCTAGGCAACCTCGATAAATCGACCATCATCGAATAATCGTCCCACCTCCGACGCCATTCACGGAATACCTGGAACGAGGCATCAGCTTGGAGTGGCGGTGGACTCTGAGCAAGTGCTTTCTGTGGGGGGGGCAAAGAAGTTGAAGAGGGCCCTGCAGGTGCACCTGTGGACGAAGAGGCAGGTGTAGTAGCTGCTTGAAGGTTAACAGGTGCCAACAACTCGATAATGGCACTGAATCTGGCATTTTCTTGTTATGTCTGTGATTCTCTTCACGCCTTCGTTCATCGTCTTCCTGTCGCCTCCTGATGTCGTCTTGTCGTCGGTTTTCTTCCAAAAACTGAATTAAATGAAGGAAGTCGACTCCTGTGGCAGATTGCGGACGTGTGTAGTGGGGGCTAAGGGTGGGTGGGGCCGCTTGATCCACTTTCCGATCCACTTGGAGTCCACTTACTGCACCGACATCCGTCTGAAGTTGGGCTTGTTGGGTATCTGAAGAAAACCCAATAAATTCCTGATCTTCCATATGGCCTGGTTTATTTCTCTCACAATTACTGTAATTAATAAGTGAGCAGAAGAGCAATCGTCTTTAAATGGAAGATATCTGCGAGCGTCTGTGAGTGTGTGTGTGTGTGCGTTCGTTCGTGCGTGTACTCGGGGCAGGCTGGCTAGGGAGCGGGATGGCTGGCTCACTCGCGCAGTGCCAGTCGAGACATGAATGGGGGTGGATGTCAAAACTTGAGCTCTCCCATAGGTCTTAAAAAGGCTCCCTCTTTTGTAAAAAGTGCAGGAACACGGGGAAACACTTTAAAGACACTAAAGGGCACACACAACACTGAAAAAGCACTTCACAACACTGCACTGTAAATCCAGGAATATCGTGTTGAGGTACGCGCCGAGATCCACTCGACAAGGGAAGTTGACAAGATGGCGGCTCCGAGAGAGATTCTGTGTCCACTCCAATTCTGAATAATGTGATGTCCCAGCTAAACACTGTGCCATGTGGGAGACTCAGGTGGTCCTTCTACTCAGGGGTAAAGGAAACACACTGATGTCAAGTCCGTAAGTTCTATTTCTGGGACAAACACAAAAAGGAGTTAAGACGGGTAAACAGCGTCCTGTCTTGGAATCTCTCTGGGTATCTCTATCTGCGCATGCGCATACAGCGCGCATGTGCCCAAAGTCTGAACTAACACTCGGTGACAAAAGGGAGTATGATTATAGATCATATAATACAGAGACCTGAATCAATAATGGTAAATAGTATAGAGTTACATATTACAGCCATATTCGTCTCATATATCTACAATTCCCCCTATGCTATTGGTGAGGAGATCCTGTATGACTGCTGGGTCGCTTCTAATCAGAACATGATCTTGTGTACTGACTGAACTGAAACTCAACGTCTGGGTGTTTATCTTCCGCATCGTTCAGCCATCGATACTTGACTTAAGGTGGTGTACCAACAGGGAAGTTTAATCTTACTCTCATAGGGGGGTTGAGGTTGTAGTTGATGGTCTCTAAGTTTTTCTGCCTTTTCGGCTTTCTGCTTGTTCCTGGACCGAACTAGTTGAAAGCCATCCTCTCCATTGGTGTCAGGGTCAACACCATAGTCACCTGGCTCACTCAGTGCATCAGGAGAGTTAAAGCGAGTAGCTGAGTCACCATTCAACTCAGACATGGTGGAGTTACAGGACTCGACCTATATGCCTACGTCAGAGGGCCGAGGACTGCTTGGCACTCCTAGGAAGTCAGCGGTGTTTGGGAGGCGTAACCCTCTTACAGGACAAGGGAAACTAGCATCTACAGTGTATCAGCGGTGTGAGGGGAGGCCGTGAACGGGCCTCCCGCGCGGAGTTAAGTGGTGTCAGTGGAACAGAGGTAGCAGGCGTATCCTCAGTTTATAAACACTTATATTACACTACACTACACTTGTTCTTAATAGTATCTCTGTTTTCTGGTTAGATACAGTATCAAAGTCAATTTTAGTTTCAAAAGAACTATCCAGCCTGGCACCATATGAGGACGGGGGTTTGTTTACACAAGCCCTCACTACATGGCCGGGAGTGACCACGAGGGCCTGGCACCTACACACAACACAGTGCTCAAGCCACGCGTTAGTTCACTTGTTATACAGGCAACATATTTGCAGTTGTTGACCTATCGGTTAAGGTAATCCTCCAAGCGATAGTGTTAGGAAGAACACCTAATATTCAGTAACACCCTGTGAGAACCCTGCTCCTCAAATCCCAGTGTGTACCACCGTAATCTTAAAAAGATCACAGGTGGTCCACGCACACAGCCCTGCCCACACACACGCTGAGGGGAAACTGTGTGGCAGCAGTCATGGTGGTCTGTATAAGGGGGGCAGCAGTCATAGTGGTTTGTATAAGGGGGAGCAGCAGTCATGGTGGTCTGTATAAGGGGGAGCAGCATTCATGGCGGTCTGTATAAGGGGGTAACAGCCATAGTGGTCTGTATAAGCATGGCAGCAACCATTGTGGTCTGTATCTGGGTCAGCCACCATGGTGGGATCCATTAGGAAGGTAGCAACAATGGTGGGGTGCACTGGGAAGGCAGCAGCCATTGGGGTCTATATCAAGAGGTGAACAAGTTTAGGGGATCTTTATCAAGATATGAATGAGTTTGGGGGATATATATCAAGAGATGAATGAGTTTAGGGGATATATATCAAGAGATGAACAATTTATTGGTGTATATGAAGAGATGAAAAAGTTTATGGGGCCAGCATTTTAGGGATCAGTGAACTGTCCTTTGACCCAGCTTTTAGCAGGGGTTGTCAAGCATGGAATTACTAAATAACATGAAAAATGTAATAAAAACAAAATAATATGTATTACTTTTGTTAGACATACAACATGGTGCTGTAACAACTGAAAAGTAATGACGGTTTTCTAAATTTGCAGATAGCTACCAAAGATCCCCTGAATCCCATCAAGCAGGATGTTAAGAAGGGAAAACTTCGTTATGTTGCCAATTGTTTCCCTCATCATGGCTACATCTGGAACTATGGCGCTCTTCCACAGGTTAGTTCACAGAAATTTAACATGCTTTCGTTGTCTTATTCATACAAATGCATGTGATATATGAAAGTGCTCCTGTCTGTCCTATCCATGTGTCACAATTTCTATATTACCCTCTTCTGAAGAGTGGTAGATCCACCAGGCTCTGATTTAGGGTCTTGAAATCCAGCATTTATTACAGTGGCTTTATTGATGAACATGTGTATTTTTTTAAAATTATTATTTGGACAAAATGAATGGGTATCAAAGCAAACTACAGGGGGTATAGTAAATTAATTATGGAAATGGCAGACTCTGTTCTACCCAGCAATGTGATGTATGATTTTGTGATTGGATATTGTGGCAATATTCTTTGTGGAAGCAAATTTTAGGCAATCTAACATACAGCACTTCATTATTTATTTGTTTTCTAAATGAAGTTTTGAAAAATTATATAATGGATATACTGTATCATCATCATGCCAGATAATGTAGCTATCAAAAGAATGAATGAAAACTCACTTTTATTTCATCTGAAGAGTATGGTAATCAGTTAAAAAGAAGCGAGACTGAAGTTGAGAGATTTGCATGAAAAAGTCAATCAGTCCTTGTTATGTTATTATTGCGCTTCGACAACGAAGGTCTTTAAGTGTGTAACAAGGTTAGTAATTACACTAGTCCTCTAACAATAAAAAATAAAGATAGAGCTCAAGTGGAGTGGTGGTGATACAAGTAGTCTTTGAGACTAATGTAATCAACTGATTGTCACATGCCTCCAGCATATCAAATTTCTGATTAAATTAACTTGTTTTAAATATTTTAGCTTATTAAAAGTACAGTACAGTGGTCCCTCAGTTAACGAACACAATTAGTTCCAGAAGGTTGTTCGTTAACCGAAAATTTTGTTTACCGAAACCATTGTTTCAATGGGATTTTGGGTAATTGGTTGCAGCTCACCGAAAATTACATAAAAAGTAAAAATAAATGCAGTAAAGTACACTTACTTTGAGGTGTGTATGTAGAAGGCTCCTAGTTGAGGATGATGATGATGGGAATTAGAAGTGGGGGTGGAGGAGAAGGGAGAAGAGAAGGAAGTGGGGGTGGAAGAGAAATCACCCCATGCCTCATGCCGTCATTTCACCCATAAAATTTTAAGTTCACTAGGTGTAATTCAAGATTATTTGCTTTAAATCAATGCTGCACTGCACTATATATTGTCAATATGTTAAATAAATTTCAGAATGACCAATAATTGTACTGTAAAAAAAGTAAAAACGTAAAAATAGTTTATGTTCAAGAGAGCCACAAGCATGATGTTACCTCCACGGACCAGAGATACAAACTGCCGCCTTGCTGGGTGAATCAAGTGGCTGATTGGCACACCAAAAACTAGTTTCCTATACAGTACTGCAATTATGTTAAATAAGTGTTAAAATGACTAAAAATTTTAATATAAAACTTGGAAAATTATTGAATAGTACAACCTTCTTGATAGTTACTCGAATGGGAACACATTTAAGCCCTAGAACCGATTACTGTATTGGCGGACTAATATTCCAACTGGTGAGCAGGCGAAAACATGTTGACATGATTTCATAAAAATTTTGTTAACCAAATTTTTGTTCGTTAACCGAATTGAAGATTCTTATGGAAGGTAATTCCTTAACCGAAATTTCGTTAACCGAGGCGTTCGTTAACCAAGGGATCAGAGAGAGAGAGAGAGAGGGGGGGGGGATTATTTTAGTAAAGAAATGGAGTTTCTAACTTAATTAGAAATGCATTTATGGACTCCGGTAGTTTGGACTCGGGGAAAACATCCCCAGCACCCAGAAATGTTCTGGGGAAGTGGGTTAGTGCCCGTCTGTGGAGATGTCTAGTTTTGACACTTGCAAACGTTTCCCAGTAACCGGAAAAGATTCTGAATACAGTATAAGGAATTTTTCCGGATTTGAGAAAGTCGTTTGGTCAGGCGGAAATCTCTCA